CTCAAGGCTAGTGCTCTACCACTTGAGCCACAGCACCACTTCCAGCCTTTTCTGCTTATGTGGTGCTGAGGAATCGAACCCAGGGCCTCATGCATTCAAGGCAAGCGCTCTACCACTGAGCAAACTTCCCAGCCCACCAATTGATCTTTTGAATACCTTTAGTTGGATGTTGGAGGAAGGCTGGGGGGTGGGGGGGTCGGGGTAGGGTCACCTAAAACTCAACAGGACCAGCTGAATGTCTCCAAACCTGGCTCACAGCAGTCTATACCCTCCCCTCAGGCAGCCTCCAGAGGGGGAAAATTCAGCCTGAGGCTTGAAGGGGACCAAACTAGTTCCACAACCTTCCACGCCTCACAGGGAGGGGGACAAAGCAGGTCTGGACCAAACCCAGCTGGAGGCTGAAATTTTATTCCCCCAGAGATGTTCAAATAACAAAAATACAAATAAACACAAAAACCAAGGATCCACGTTTAAAACTGGTACCAATTCTAAAACAGGACAAGACAAGACAAGAACCGAAGGCTGAGTTGGGGACTAATGGGCCCCCAGCTCATCCCTACCAGAACTCTGTGCTGCTCCTACTCAGCAAACTGAATCTAGAGTCTGCCATTCTCACTCAGACCTTCCCTACCTTAGAAAACAGAACAGAAAACACACCCAAGTAAACAAGACAGACAAGTGGCCACAAAATCAGGTCTCAGTGAATGGGGCGACATCTCACCACCATTCACAAGTGGGACTCAAATCCACTTACCAGGGGACTCAAACCCCCTCTACTCACCTCCAGAGGATTGTTCTTTTAGATTCCTGCAAACGTTGACCCAGGAGTCTTCCTAGGCGGAGGAGAATTCCCAATCATCTTGGGGCAAGGGAAAGAGTCCTTAGCGACCATCCTCTCAGACTGCCAAGTTCTCCCCCATGCTCAGACCCCCCCTGGGCCAAGACCTGAGGCTGAGATCCTGCTGGGGCCACTTGCAGGTGGTCAGTGGCAGTTTCATAATTGACAAAGAAGCAAGTTACAAAAGCAGAACTAGCAGGTTTTTTGTTTGTTTGACATGAAGTAGGACAAGGTCTAGGGGTGTCGCAGGAGTGGCCTCATGGACTCACTTTGCCCCATATTTTTCCTGTAAATCCAGTTACAAACCAGGCAAGCAAAAGCAAAAGCACAATGAGACACAGACACGATTATACACAGAATAAGGAGGGATCCCCAAACCAAAAGTTACTTTTCCTCTCAACCTATTTTCTCCACAAGCAAGCCCCTGTCCAACTAGGACTGGTGGAATTGAGGGGTCCAGGCGTCCCTGGACCTCCTCGGCCGTAGGGGACTCTGTTGCGTCCAGCCTCATCCTACTTTTGGCCTCACTCTGGCGCCTTCTCTACCTAGGTTGACTGCGGCTTACCTCGAGGCTTTTCTGGGAACTTCTCTCCAACAGCCGAGTGCCCGCACACTGTCCTCCCAGCTGGGGACTTCAATCCCCTTCAGGTTGGAGTACCTAAGAACTCTATCCTGGACAAGCCCCCATTAAGTGTCGTAGGAAGACCCCTACTCAGGCAGGCAAGCCTACCTAGTAGTCTGGAGTGTCAGAGCCCACTGCAACAAAGTTGTTAACAAAGAAGCAACTTTACTGAGAAGGTTCCTACACTGAGCGGTCAGGGCCGCAGCACAGGCTCCAGAGCTAATACTGCAACCCCAGATGGCCCCCATTCTTTGGTTGTTAAAGGCAAAATCCATGAGGTTGAGCCTGGTCACACGCAGGTGACCAATGGGATCGCAACACACAAAGGATTGTACAGTCAGACCAGACCACACACAGGTGGCCAATAGGTGGAGTTTACCTTAAGCATGTGCAAAAGGCATTTGGAGCCAGATTACAAACTATCTGTTTTATGGGTCAGTCTTTTAACTCAACGGTCAAGGGTGGGTTAGGTTGTTCAGGAGAGGGGGACCAGATGCATTTTGTTCATTCTGGGAACTAGGCCCATCAAGTCTAAAATCCCTAAAACAAAGGCAGGGCTCAAAATGGACTCATACCAGCTGGGATCCCTTCTCAGGGTCTACTTCAATGTATCTCCTTCCCCAAGAATATCAGGCCACCAGGAAAGTAGGGAGGGGATCTTTATTTTGGTCACTGAAACAAAAAGTAGTTAATCTTTTGGAGTGTGTATATGTATATGTGTGTTCTACCATTTGAGCCACAACCTCCATTTCCATCTTTTTGGTGGTTAGTTGGAGACAAGAATCTCATGGGCTTTCCTGCCTGGGCTGGCTGGATCCAAACTATGATTTTCAGATCTCAGCCCCCAGAGTAGCTGGGATTATAGACATGCATGAGCCAGCTTAGTCAGAATTAAATGTTTTTTTTCATTTGGAGTGCTAGGGATGGACTTGAACATGGTTAACTCTCCACTCTACCACCAAGCTAAACCCCTATATTTCACAGTTAGCAATACAGAGCAAGGTGAGCAGTCCAACAGCCTCTGGGAGGTCAGACGCCACAATGGAAACAGCTAGAACAGAAGCCCTGGGCCCCAACAGGCATGGGGAGCAATGGCCAAGGTGTTACATGCAGATTATTGGCCACAATTCCCAACTTGGGGCCCAGTTATAATTCTCCCCAGCTGTAAACCCCAGACATGGAGGAAGACTAAGATATTCAAAAGCCACTTGGCTGGGGTTTAGATTTACGGAAGTTTATGGCCAGAGCCAAGTGCTCAAGGTGTGCTCTTCCTTGAGTAGAAGCAGGCCAGCAAAGTAGGGCAAAATGCGGCTCTCAAAGAGCAAAAGTTTATTCCTTCCGCCAGCATACTGCAGCCACAGCCCGTGGCACAGGCTGCGTTCTATTCAAGGGCACCTGCCAAGTAGATGCCTGTCACCCCGACCAGAGGGGTGCCTCTTGCTAATCGGAACAAGCTTGTCAGCTGCAAAGCACACTTCTGGCCTGTCCCCAGGGTTAGGACACTTCCTAGTTCCTGGTGCCTGCTTGGGGCTGGAGCCCAGGGCAAAGGGTGCCTGGCCCTGCCTGGCTCCCCAGGACAAGGCCCTTGGAGGAATGCGGGAGGGAGGGGTGGGGGAAAGTGAGGAATTCCCTGGGCAGGGAGGAGAGGGCTGGCACCAAGGGTGATTATCTTGGTTCATCTCTTCCATTTTTTGATGCCTCCACCTCTCACCTTGTGCAGGCCAGAGAATTGGGGATCCTCTAACAGAATGCACCATGCCCACCACCCAGACCCAGTACTGAGTCTGTGTGCTGGGATAGGAAGACTGGCTGCTTGGCTCAGAGGACGTCCCAACCTTTCTGGTAGTTTCTCCAACTACAAGAGTATGGATTGAGCTGGGCGCTCATGGTGGATCATGCCTATAATCCTAGCTACTCAGAAGGCTGAGACCTGAGGATCCTGATTCAAAGGGCAGAAAAGCATATAAGAGGCTGGGAATGTGGCCTTGTGGTAGAGTGCTTGACTAGCATGCATGAAGCCCCGGGTTTGATTCCTCAGTACCACACACACAGAAAAAGCCGGAAGTGATGCTGTGGCTCAAGTGGTAGAGTGCTAGCCCTGAGTTGAAGAGCTGAGGGACAGCACGCAGGCCTAGAGTTCAAGCCCTATGACTGACCACCCCCCCACACACAAAAGAGCTGGGACTCAAGTGAGAGTACTGGCCTTAACCAACAGCAGCTTAGGGACAGGAAAAAAATAACCCAGAAAACAAAACAATGGAAGGCCAGCTCATCACCTTGGTGACCTATCTTGGGTTATTTCCTAACAATGGCTTTCTTTTCCATTTATTGGCTGGAACTCTCCTGCCTCTGCCTCCCCAAGGCTGGAGCAAGAGAGGCATCCCCACACTCTACTATTGGTTCACACCCTTGCAGAGAACAGGCCTGCTCCCACTGTTAGGTCCTGAAGAAGGGCCCATTCTTTCCTTTCCAGATGAGGAAATGGAGCCTCAGAAAAGCAAGAGGACACACAGCCTTGCAGACCGCTCCCCTCCTCCTCCTCCTCCTGGCTGACTCACCCCTACAGCTCCACAGGTCAGGAAGGTGGGGGCATGGCTAACAGCCAGTAGCAGGGTGGAGGGAGGTGAGGAAGTCAAGGGAAGGAGGAAGCTCCCAGGCGAGGGTGCGGAGATCTGTGCTAGGGCTCCCTCTGCTGGGCACAGGATAAAGAGCAGGACACAGCAGTGCTCAATCTACAAAGCTTTATTGAACACCTGCAGTTACTGGGATGAGGCCATGATGCTGGACACACCTGGGGACAAAGGGAAGGAACCAGGGTGAGCTTGGGAAGAGTGGGAGGTGAGCCTTTAGCTGCCCACCCCTACCCTTCAGGAATGGATTGCTAGCCCCCTGGAGAGCCAAGGTTACCACCACAAAGGCAATTTGATGTAGTAGATAACACAAAACCAGGGACTCCAGGACAAGGCCTGGGTTAAAATCTCAGCTCTTCTTGATGACAGCAGGTTAGCCTTGGGCAAGTTACTTAAGAGCTCAGTTTCCCCACAAGCAAGAAGCAGCTTCTCTGTAGGATTGTGGGGTTAAAAGGTGTGCCTGTCATCCCAGCTACGTAGGAGGCTGAGATCTAGAGGGATGTGGTTCAAAGCCAGCCTGGGCAGAAGTCTCCAAAAACACTGGTAAAAAGCCAAGATGGAAGTATGGCTCAAGTGGTAGAGTATCAGCTGAGTAGGCACAAAGGCTGAGTTTGAGCCTCAGTCCTGAAGTGCCGGGAAGCACACTGGGTACTAAGTGCCATCACTATCAGCATCACAGTACTGAATCTGGACAGCCTGCCTCAAGCTGCTGGAATTCTCTCAGGTCCCAGCAGGGCACCGCCTGTACAGGGAAGGCCCATGGGGCAAAGGTAATCATCTTTGCTCCATTCCTCCCTTCAGTATCAAACCAGCCACTCTGTGCTCCGTGTTATTTCATGCGGTAAACATCACAGTGTTCCTACTAGCTGAGCACATCTTCCTTACAGGATTGATGTCACCCAGTGGCCATCATTACTGTAAATGTCATTCTCAAGTGTTTTTTATTTTTTTGGTGCCAGTCCTAGGGCTTCAACTCTGGACCTGAGCACTGTCCCTAAACATTTTTTGCTCTAGGCCAGCACTCTACCACTTGAGTCATGGTGTCACTTCTGGCTTTTTTTGTAGTTTAGTGGAAATCAGAGTCTCATGGACTTTCCTGCCTGGCCTGGCTTTGAACCATGAATCTCAGCCTCCTGCATAGTTTGGATTACAGGCGTGAGCCACTGGCACCCAGTTTCATGAGGAAATTGACACAGAGAGATAAGATCACCCTAAGCTGTGAGGTGGGGACTCAAATATCCCACACCACACGAACCCACCTCCAGAACCTGCTGGTGATACCCTGGGTCCCAAAGGGACAGAGTGCCTGGGACTGCAGGGTGTGGAAACCCTGCCAGGCTAGTCTTCTAGGCTCTGGGGAGTTCTTTTTCTAGAGTGTGGCAGATGCAAATTTCCCAGCCCTGATTTAGGAAGTGATGGCCTCCCTGGGGCCCTCTGCACCCAGTGTGGTGTCTGTGGTGGGTGGGTGGCACTCACTGTCGAAGTCGATCTTCTCCACGATGTTCTTGGGCTTGATGCTCTCCTCCTGGCTACAGATGAAGATTTGTCCCGAGTCATCAGCACTCCAGCCGTACTTGCTCATCCACACTTTCAGCTGGTTGTCTGCAGGTGACACGGGAAGCACAGGGGGCAGTGCTAATGACACCAACCAAGCTCTCCTGCCTGGATGGCAGCAGCCTCCCCTGGTAAATCTCCCTGCTGCCCTCCCGTGGCCCATTCCCCACACGGCCACTAGAGGGCACCCCGGCTTTCTTGTCCTCCCTAGACAGGGCTTGGTCTTCACCTCTTCCCTTTTCTCTCCAGCAGATTTCCTTCCCCACCAGCATTACACCCAACATTAACACCGGGAGTAAGGCTATTTGACCAAACATCCTGCTAAAGCATTGGCCAGCTATATTTTCTGTGGGACCAATTTGATACTGATCAGCCTAATCCTTCTTGGTTTTAAATTCTGAGGTGTGTGTTGTATTTTCCCACTTTTTCTTGGTAGGAGACACAAGGTTTCATATATCCCCAGGATGGTCTCAAACTAAGATCCTCCTGTTACTGCCTTCTGAGTGGTGAGATTATAGTCAAGTACTTTCACATGCAGTCTATAAAAAGCTTTTAATGTGGGGCTGGGAAGGTGGCTCAGTGGTAGAGTGCTTGCCTTGCATGCCTGAGGCCCTGGGTTCGATTCCTCAGCACCACATAAACAAATAGAAAAAAGCTGGAAGTGGTGCTGTGGCTCAAGTGGTAGAGTGCTAGCCTTGAGCTGAAGAGCTGAGGGACAGCGCCCAGGCCCAGAGTTCAGGCCCCAT